TTATGAGCTCATCATATGTTTTTATGTAAAATGTTCAGCGAAGTAGCAATGAAGTATAAAACTATAAAATAGCAGAATATTTCTCTCTGAGAGGGAAAGTACAAGTACTTCAAAACTGAACTTAGGTTAAAATAAGTAAAGAAAACAATGTTTAAACTTAATTCAAAACAAGATAACAAAAATAATAAATATATCACCAGATAAAATTGTATCATTACGCACGTCACGTAGGGCCCCGCATATTAAGCAGGGCCCCGCCTTACTCTCGTGTCAAAGGTGAAAGTGAGTGTCAATGTTTTGATGGAAGGATGAAAAGGGAATCGATGTCCTTCTGGGCACAAGAAGAGGAAAACATCAAGGAGAGTGAATTGTGGGAACAGCAGTCCGGTAAACTGGTGTTCTCTCCTCTCAAAGTCTGATGTCAGCAGATCACAGTAAGTTAATGTGTTGGCTGCAGTGCATCTCTCTAGACCGTCTGTCTTGCTGACCCAGCAGGGCAGCGCCCGGCAAATATTCATAACGTTTGATAAACGCCAACATGCAACGGTGTTTATAAACTGCAGCTTGGAAAAGAAAACCGCGCCACGCGTGAACATGCGTTTATATGCACGTAAGAAAACTTGCGCCTTCCTGCTGAGACCTATGAGGACCAGTTCAAACAATACCCGGATGTGCTGGCACTCCTCAGAGGTGCACATCATTTTAAAACAAGATAATAATAAAGGAAATGTGGGGAGCCAGTTTGAATGGGCCTGATGTAGCTGATGACATTTATCGTTATCTATAATTTACAGGGTCGATGCTGAAGTTTGTCAGTAGAACAGATGCTGGATTGTCAGCCGGTACTAGCACAGACCCAGTCCAGATGTCTTTACACACAGACCCAGGTGAAATATACAGTCAGCCTCAGGCAGTACAAGCAGCCACAGATGTACAGCCATCCACCAAATGACCCAGCAGATTGGCCCCCGGTCTTGGGAGACTTTATGAGGACTGAGTTTGTGCGCAGAGGTCCATTCAAACCAGCACTGGTTTCCATTCAGGCTTATTACAGAGACAGACTGTTTTAAAGGAGGGAGGGTTGTAGTGAGAGCACTGCAGTGTCATTAGTGACTGTGCAGCAATGGAAAACTGTTTACATTGCTCATGATTCAGGTAGAAGGGCCCCATGGCAGGATTTCGCATAGGGCCCAAGGGAGGTCAGGACCGGCTCTGAGTACTGCTGGTAATAACTGTTGTTAGGAAGTCTGGCTGAAGTCTCTAACTCAACCACTGAGGGGCAGTAAAGTAAAGTCAGTGTCAACAACCTGAAAGGTTCCCTCTGTTAGAACGCTGCCTCAGTTTTATCAGCTTTAAAAAGACAAATGTTTGTGCTTTTGGAGTTCACCTGTTGAAGAGCTTCAGAGTCTACAGCAAAAAATTCCACCTGACTGTCGTGGAAATTGCATCTTGCTGGTCAGGGATTAAGTAAATAGTTGAGTAACAACCAACCGTTGTCTTTGACGCATTTATTAACCAAAGAGAATAAACAGAGACCTGCTGCCTCGGGCAGCTTCGGGCGTCTGGCCCCGAGGTATGCACGAGGTGCAGCAGCATAACGTCACTGATTATTGGAATCTCCCGACGCTCCGACAGGATCGGTCAAGATGAACCGACAACAGCCTCTCTGATCAGTAAAGTAATTCATTAAAGCACAAACACGTGGCCTATAGAAAATCTATTTAGCATGATCCATCAGGGGAGCTGCCGTCTTGTTAAGAGGAGCCGAGCTCCCCCGTAGTTTGCACCCGGCCTACAATCTCGACCATCGGATAGCTGCAACAGGAAATGACGTTTGGCTACTCTTTTACTCATGGATTTGTTTTTCTGGTGCTGAAATGTTTCACCTCTTAACTGAAGTTAAAGTGCACTGTAACGTGCCTTACTGAGATTGTAATGGGTATAATATTACCGTTTGTTTATGCGTTATATTACAGCGTTACAGCAAAAAGCATTGTATTACAGAGTAATATCTATTTGTGTAGCAGAATAAGGATAACAGATACACTTTTTTCTCCAGGCTTATTTGACAGGGATACAATGATAACACATAATGGCTGTTTCCATCTGCTGTCCCTGGACTGGTTGTCACTCTAAAAACACAAAAGGATTAAGCTATACATGTTACATATAGATCATCAGCTCACTCATAGGCCTACACACAAGCTGACTGAATCTCAATCAGTATGTTTGCCTGCATCATGGACATACACACAAGCATACATACAAGTAACAGGAGTTTATAGCCTGTCTAATACTGTAACAGCAGTGGGTTGGAATACTTCAAACAATCTTTCTACCAGATTGCTGGAATACAATAATGATGATCTCAGAGGGGATCTTTAGTCTGTATTCATCTTACAGACGGACAGATGTTGAATGGATTTTTATTCATTAGCGTGATTGCAGTGACAGTTCAGTTCAAAAACACTAAAGTACGAGGAAGATGGAACCAGACGCGAGCTTTTATTTTGCAACGTAGAAGGTTGCGGATGGCACCAGAGGACAGGGCACGAGACAGGAGGCTCCAGGCTGCAGCCATACAGTCTTGGCACTATAGGCCCTACTGCTACGGGACACTGCTTCGTAAGCTTGTTCCACGCGGTTGGAGATTATCTACTGTGCATGCGCAAAACAGAAGTGGGAAATGAGAAAACAAATAAGGAAAACGTAAATTCCACCTATTATTTCCTTTTGGTTTCCTGGTTTATTCGAGCTGAAAGCACGGAAACAAACGTCAGTTTTCTCATTTGGTTCATACAGAAAAACCAAATATTGATTAGTATTTTCCTTTACAAGATTAAATGGAGTAACTGAATGATGGGATGATCCACGGACCATTCAGCTCGTCCATTTGTTTTCTCTTTTTTTCTTGCCAGTCTGTTTTAGAAATTGTGCAGAATCTCTTTTCCTTTGTCCACTTGTGCCCTTTCCTTCGCCCTCTCCCCCTGTACTGTCCGTATCCTCGTACCAGGATGGATTTATACAGCACCAATCATTTTCTTTTGACAGTTGTCTCCGTGTTGATCTCCTGTATGTTAAGCATGCTCCTTCATGCTGTCTGTCTTCAATGATGTGACATGCTGTGAAATACAACTCTTCCTTACTCCAATTTCTCTTTATCTGACTTTTACTGGACCGGAGCACATTTTCTTCTTGCAACAGCAGTGGTGGTTAAGTTTCGGTTTCTCATCAGTTTAATCAGATCCTTAATGAATCTATTCTAATTTTCAGTTCTGAGCTTTCCTTGGCCTCACTTCTTGTCTTCATATAACCTACCGATCTGAATAGCAGTTTTTTTACTTTTCTTTCCTCTGGACAGGGCTGAACGCTCTATTGCATTTCTGCTCTCCTTTCTCTCCAAACATGTCTTTAGCTGCTTCAATAGTTTTAGACTAAAGCTTCCATTTTGCAGGAAACCCACCAAAAATACCAAATTGTTCCATTAATGTTTAGGCTAATATTTTTTAGTCATCAACTTCAGAACTGGGGAAGGTAATCTTGGAGTGGATTCAGACTCAGTCCTCGCTTTACTCTGACACTTGCCATAGTCTACTCTCCCTGGTCAGTCTCTACTCAGGTCCATAGCACTATTTGGGTCCACTGAGTTCGATTAAGTCTGAGGCGCTGCAAACCTAACTTATCAGCTGGAAACCCCCAAAACTCTCAGACACTACAGAGAAAACCAGGACACGTCTGTCTGCGGCCACTTTGATCCAGTTACACTCTGGACCCACTTGTGCATTTACAGGTGGAAAGAGGATCCTGCAATCTCTCAGGCACAAGATTTAAGACTCTTCCTTCACTCTGTTCAGTCTCACTTTCTTTATCTTTTAACTCAATTATCAACTCATTTCTCAGCGTATAAGTTCTTTTCCTTTCTTTCATGGAAGGGCGCGAAGATCAGGGCTCCGCTGAACACAGCTTCTCCCTACTGGGAGGATTTTCCAAAAATAAGCCGACTTCTGTCCTACAACGGAGTCCGAATCCCTCGTCTGGCCTATCTGAGGTGCCAACTTGTCAAGGAAATTGCATCTTGCTGGGGAGGGATTAAGCAAATAATTGAGTAACAACCAACCGTTGTCTTTGAAGAATTTATTAATAAAAGGGAATAAACAGAAATGGATGCATAATCATTTACAAAGTAATAATAAATAAATAAATAAATAAATAAGACATAATAAAATAAGTAATAATAATAATAATAATAATAATAATAGTCAAAGAACATACATAGAAATTAAATATAATAGGACACAATTTCGTGACATAACACTGACAAGCCATATTTTTATAGTGACAGTGGTGAAGCAAAGTCCTGACAGAGACAACAATTGTGATACAGATAAATAAATATATATAATATAAATATAAAGATGTTTGTCCTCTGATGTCTGCAGATATTGAGACACATTTTGGACAAACAGGGACTGAGCCTGATTAAAACAATGTGAAGATGGAAAACGTCCTGCTGGTTGCAGCAGAGGAGGCTGCTGGTTCTGTTGGTCTTCCTCTGACTGGATGAAACTGGACTTGAAACTGGTTTCACTTCCCTCTCTGAGCACAGTAACCATGGCAACAGACAGGCATCACTGACGAACCATGGCAACAGGCAGGTTTCAGTATTAAAGATAAAAGTGTGATGTAAACTTTGATCACCAAAACCACCAGATGTTGGTGGTTAACTGTGAACAGGAGAACCAGTTAGAACAGGTCAGCTGATAGAAAAGTTAGTTAGTTATAACTTCTATTGTTAGTTTGTGTTAATCTGCATGAGGATGTTTTAAACAGGCAGCTGTCCCAGCAGTGAGGAGGAAACAGCATGATATGTTGAGGACAGCTACAGTTCACTGACTCTGTGTGTTTGCATATCTGTCCTGCCTCTCTGCTCCCAGCCGTTAAGAGGCCAGTGTTGATCAGTGGCTGTCCAGGCCTTTCAGAGCCACTGACACGCCGGCAGCACAATGATGATGTCACTGATTCTACTGCTGGCCACCCTGGGGCTCCTTGTTCAGGGTGAGACTCTCTTCTGAAAACTTTGCTTCAGGATGCAACCAGCTTCACCACAATGATGTTCTGCTGTGATGGAGAAACACTGAAACAAGCAGCATTTACCTTCTTCCATCTGTTCTCCATCTTAAAGAAATGAGAGTCTTCTGTTTGGATGCTGATCATCTTTCTCCAAGCTGGATTTGTCTCAATAACCCTTCTCCTCTTTTTCATCTTTTCCAGGTTCATCAGGACAAATCATCCTGACTCAGTCTCCTGGATCTCAGTCTGCTGTTCCAGGACAGGCTGTCTCTCTCAAATGTAAAACCAGTGCAAGTACTGGCTACCTGCACTGGTACCTTCAGAAACCTGGAGAAGCTCCTAAACTCCTGATTTATTCAGCTACAACCCGTCAGTCTGGAGTTCCAGATCGTTTTAGTGGAAGTGGATCTGGGACTGACTTCACTCTGACCATCAGTGGAGTTCAGGCTGAAGATTCAGGAGTTTACTACTGTCATAGTCATCAATGGATCAACAGTCAGGTTGTGTTCACACAGTGAAAAAGTGTCGTACAAAAACCTCCCTCAGTCAGACTGAACAGAAACCGAACTGACTGCTGCAGCTGGAAGCTACTGCAGAGACTGATACAGTTCACTGAGGACACACACACACACACACACAGCCAGCCTTGTGGCACTATCTTCATGGGGCCCATCATACACATAACGCATTCCCAACCCCTTATCCAAACCCTAAACCTAAAACCAAGTCTTAACCTCAAGCAGCCTTTCATAAATGTGGAGTCCACCACCACACGTGTGTTCTTGTTAAATTTATCCTCCAAGACACAAAATACTTTTGTGTCTTGTGTCTTGGTGTTTATATTGTCGAAGGTGAAAAAGAAACTGCCCTGTCACAAGTAACTGTGGCTTTCAGTCATCAATGTAGCTGAGTAAAAAGTTCCATATTTGCCTACAAATGCTGATCAGATCAATCTGAGGGGTCATCAGATGATTAATGGGAGATGAAAGAAGAAGAAACAATGTTGGGATACACAAAACTGTTTTCAGTTTGACTTTTTGTATAATATTGGATAAATTTACCTCCTCATGACTCAAACAGTTACTGAAATTAAACCATGTGTGAAGTTATGAGGTAAAATGTCTCTTTGTTGGAACTGCTAACAACTCAGACATCTGAAACAAGGGGCACAACAAGCCAATTTATTGTATTTTATAAGCAAGTCATTGTGCGATTGAGCAAATTGGTGGACCAAAATGCAGGGCACTGAGCTACACATGACTACACAAGGACTGAAGACACAAGCAAGCATATATTCACACACACAGGGACTAACAAGCAGGGCGGGAGCAACACAGGTGACTGCGATCAGACTAACGAGACAGGCAGGCAGAGAGACAGCAGGGGAAAACAGAGAGAGAGAACACAGGTTACTGAACATTAAACACAGGCCATCTCAAAATAAGATGTCACAGAATAATATAAAAAAAAAAACAACCAACAGGGAAAACAGACTGAAGCTAAGACAGAACTCAGAGCAGACAAGGCCAAAATAATGCAAACACAGAAGTAAATACTAAGACATTAACTAACATACTGAACTATGAACTAAGACATGGAACCAAAACACAGACTAAATAACAGTCGGTATCTGTTATTTAGTCTGTGTTTTGGTTCCTGACCTATAAATAAACTCACAGAGAACTAAACTCAACAGAACAGAGGACAGGACTAAATTGCAGATACAAAACCAACCAAACAAGAATCAAAATACTGCACACAGAGAAACTCAGGACAGGATTGTGACAGTCATATGTTTTTGTTAAATGTTCCCCTTTTAAGTAACTAGGAACTATAATTGTTGGATAAAAGTAGTGGAGTAAAAAGCAGAATATTTCTCTCTGAGAAGGAAAATACAAGTACTTCAAAACTGAACTTCAGTAAAAAAATTCAATTCAATTTTATTTATATAGCGCCAAATCACAACAACAGTTATCTCACAGCGCTTTTCATAAAAGAGCAGGTCTAGACCGTACTCTGTGATGCTATTTACAGAAGCCCAACAGTTCCCACCAAGAGCAAGCACTAGGCGACAGAGGCAAGGAAAAACTTCCTTTAAGAGGCAGAAACCTCGAGCAGAACCATGGCTCAGGGTGGGCGGCCATCTGCCTCGACCGGTTGGGGTGAGAGAGAGAGAGAGAGAGAGAGAGAGAGAGAGAGAGAGGGCAGGAGAGGAACAGAGAGAAAAAAAGAGGGATGGAAGGAGGAGAGAGGAGAGGGACAAGAAAGCACAAGACTACCAGAAAGGAGAGAAGTTGTGTTAGTAACATGCAATAATGGGATGAGGTTGCATACAGAGGGAGAGAAAGTAGAGGAGAGAGGAGCTCAGTGCATCATGGGAAATCCCCCAGCAGTCTAGGCCTATAGCAGCATAACTAAGGGATGGTTCAGGACTCACCTGAGCCAGCCCTAACTATAAGCTTTATCAAAGAGGAAAGTCTTAAGCCTACTCTTAAATGTGGAGATGGTGTCTGCCTCCTGAACCCAAACTGGAACCTGGTTCCACAGGAGAGGAGCTTGATAGCTGAACGCTCTGGCTCCTAGTCTACTTTTGGAGACTCTAGGAACCACAAGTAACCCTGCATTCTGGGAGCGCAGTGCTCTGGTGGGGTAGTAAGGTACTATGAGCTCTTTAAGATAAGATGGTGCCTGACCATTAAAAGCTTTGTAGGTGAGAAGAATGATTTTAAATTCTATTCTGGATTTTACTGGAAGCCAATGCAAAGAAGCTAAGACAGGAGAAATGTGATCTCTTTTCCTGGTTCCTGTCAGAACACGTGCTGCAGCATTCTGGATCAGCTGAAGGCTTAATGGACTTTTTCGAGCAGCCTGATAATAAGGAATTGCAGTAATCCAACCTAGAAGTAACAATGGACTAGTTTTTCTACATCATTTTTTGACAGGATGTTCCTGATTTTCACAATATTACGTCGGTGAAAAAGGCGGTCCTTGAAATTTGCTTAATGTCAGACTTAAACGACATGTCCTGATCAAAGATAATTCCAAGATTCCTCACGGTGGTGCTGGAGGCCAGGGCAATGCCATCAAGGGAAACTATACTATACATTGGAAAATTACAGGTCATCCAGGTTTTAACATCCTGAAGGCACATTTGAAGTTTAGTTAACTGATGAGTTTCATCTGGCTTGATCGATAGATATAACTGAGTATCATCTGCATAACAATATTGCCTAAAGGAAGCATATATAAAGTGAACAGGATTGGTCAGGATCCTTGAGGAACTCCATGACTAACTTTGGCGTGCATGGATGACTCATCGTTAACATGTTAAAACTGAAATCGATCTGATAAATAGGACTTAAACCAGCTTAGAGCGGTTCCTTTAATGCCAATGAAATGTTCCAGTCTCTGCAATAGGATCTGATGGTCAATAGTATCAAATGCAGCACTAAGATCTAATAAAACCAGTACAGAGACAAGTCCTTTGTTTGATGCAATAAGGAGAGTCGTTAGTAATTTTCACCAGTGCTGTCTCTGTGCTATGATGAGCTCTAAATCCTGACTGAAAATCCTCAAATAAACTATTGCTCTGTAGAAAGTCACACAGCTGTTTAGCAACTGCTTTCTCCAGAACCTTAGAGAGAAATGGAAGGTTAGATATAGGTCTATAGTTGGCTAAAACATCCGGATCAAGTTTGGGCTTTTTCAGAAGAGGTTTAATTACAGCTACTTTAAAGTACTGTGGTACATAGCCTGTTGATAAAGATAGATTGATCATATCTAGTATAGAGGTGCTGACTAAGTGTAAAACAGCTGTTTCTAAGGTTCCTGAGTTTAAAGATAATTCAGTGCCAGTTGAGGGCAGGTCTTGGTGAATTTTGTCTCTGATGATAAAATTCTAGCTATTAAAGAAGCTCATGAAGTCGTAACTACTGAGAGCTATGGGAATACTTGGCTCAATAGAGCTGTGACTCTCTGTCAGCCTGGCTACAGTGCTGAAAAGAAACCTGGGGTTGTTCCTATTTTCCTCTATTAATGATGAGTAGTTCGCTGCTCTGGCATTACGGAGGGCCTTCCTATAAGTTTTAAGACTATCTTGCCAAATTAAACAAGAATTTTCCAGTTTGGTGAAACCTCTAATTCCTCTCAAGTTTCCGCGATATTTGCTTTAATTTGAGTTTCAGTATTATACCATGGAGCTAACCGTCTTTGTTTTAGTATTTTCTTTTTTAGAGGGGCTACAGAGTCGAGTGTCATTCGCAGCGAGCCTGCAGCACTATCAACAAGATGATCGATTTGGGAGGGACTGAAATTAGCATAGGAGTCCTCCGTTACTTTGTGACTTGATATTGAATTTAGAGCTGATGGAATCGCATCCTTAAATTTAGCTATAGCACTATCAGACATCTTGAACAGAAATTTTTGCCCAGTGCAAACTCAAAAGTTATCAAACACTGGTCAGATAAAGAGGGATTCTGTGGGAACACCACTAAATGTTCAATTTCAATACCATATATCAGAACAAGGTCGAGGGTGTGGTTAAAACAGTGTCTTATTAAGATGAGTAAATGATTGGTAAGCTTGCTCTCTCTCATTTGCTCAGCCTTGTGCGCGTGATACACGGGGGGCTGCTGGGGCGTTGGGTGTCGCAGTGCTCGCGCAGCGTGCGCGTTGGGGTCGTCACCCCTTAGCTCTTTCAGCCTCTCTTGCCAGTAAAATATCTGCCACTTCCCCACTGTCTGAGGTTCCCTATGCTCTTGTCAACTAGTACAATGAAATTCTCTCCTCTTGTCTTCATCAGGTGGCTTCCATCAGCACCAAAACAGTGTCATTCACACACTCAGCCCCACTGTTATACTCCTGAACTAGCATGTCACCATATTTGATTTGTGACGACTCTGTTTTCTGCCGCCACAGTCGCTTTGTACTCCCGTTTATTTGTTTATCTGTTCTGGTTCTAAAATGGAAAAATCTAAATTACTTTCGTTTTGAAATGGAGTAATCAAAGAACGAATGATACGGACACGGACTACGGAGGTTGTTTTCAATTTAAAACAATAACTTAGTAGTGTGGATGTAGACTCTCTCAGTTCTCCCCCTTTTTTCTCCCATGGAGCTGTCTAACTTCATAGGGACAAAAAGCACCACTTGCACCGTGGATACCATCCCATCCAATCTTTTTAAGGACTGTCTCCCAGCTGTCTCCTCACTCATCACAGAAATTAACTCCTCTTGCAGATCTGGTTTTGTCCCCCAAACATTCAAACTGGCTGCTGTGACACTCATCCTCAAGAAGTCTGGACTTAACCCTGATGCCACGAGCATCATCATCATCATCATCTCCAATCTCCCCTTCCTGTCAAAAACTCTGTAGTGTTTCGTTGCCTCCCAACTCAAAGCCCACCTCCTTTCCCTTGACCTGTTTGAACAATTTTATTCTGGTTTCTGCTGACAAAACAGAACACAATCAGCCCTCCACAATGACCTTCTCCTCTCCTCAGACTGGCCATTTCAACAT